ATTATGTTGAATAGTAATATTCGGAATAACAACAAGAATGTTTTCTGTTTGATAGATAAATTTTTAAAAAGGGCGTTACCACATGCATAAACGAATACTGGCAGGGAAATTAACCAAATGTCGTTTATTTTCTGTAGCATTATCTGATTATAAAGGCAAAAGAGAAGTACTTTAGTTAATACACTTCCATCTATTGTTTTTTTTTTTTGGATAATGCACTTTTTGTTGTACCATACACACACGCACTTTTACAGTCGCAAAGATGCACTTTCTTCTAGTCTGTCTTTTCGTAGGAATGTAAGCTTAGAAATCACCTATAGTTCAAGGATTCGTTTTGTTTAAATAAACATCTGTCAAATTTGAGTCATCCCTTGTGATTTTTTAGTCTCAGATTTTAACTCACTTATAGCTGTGTGACATAAAAAATTATTTTCGGCTGTGTAAACATTAGATCATTAAATATATTACTAAATGCTCATTCTGTCGAATGACCTTAGTGATTAGATGACTAACAGATGATTTTCAAGTAAGAAAATGATAGTAAATGAGTGACCGTTTTCAACTCTAGCTTTATCAGTATAATATAATCTTCAAGTGTTGGTTTGTAAGGCTTTGCTTGATTTCATGTTAGTTCACGAACTGGCTTCAGTTAGTGAACCACTGAAACCTTGGAAGTACTAGACAGTCGTTTCATCCTAGTCTCTCAATCTTTAAACGTACACACGCATGACTCCTCTAGGATCTGGACCTTCAAGTTATTGAGTTGTGCTTGAAATTCAATGAAACAGAGAGATTTGTAGCTCAGATGGATGATTTGCAATTAGTAGTGTTCTCTGATGTAACAATTAGAATATTGAAACTGTTTGAAATAGATGTATCACAAAAGCCAATCCAAACACTTAATTCGATATTGGGCAAACCGAAAGATCCAACAACGAAAAAAGAAGATAAAATTAATACCATTCACAAAATAAATTGTATGAACTGTAATAGACATTACATCGGCCAAAGTGGGCCTCCCCTTCGAATCAGAACCCAGGAACACAAATTAGCTGTGAAAAGACATGGTATATAATCTTTCATATCAATGCATGTAGATAATTATGGACATCAATTTGATTGGGATAATGCCGAAATTTTAAAAAGAGGAAACACTAAAAGTGCCAGGGAATTCCTAGAAGCCTGGTACTCAAACGAATATGCAATTAACAGACATGTCAATATAGACCAAATCTACTAACTAATGTAAATCATGTGACGAGAAACTTGTGCAATAGTTTGTGCTCGAAACGCTTTCAGTTAATATAACTGCACAACACTGTGATTTATCAAAATAAAATCTTATCTATAATGTGACGATAAAGTTTAAAATCCAAGTCAATCAAAAAATGATCAATACATATGTAAAGATGGTTACCAGGAGACGGAACTCTATCACTCTTGGAAAATTTAAATCAGTTCACTTTATGCTAAATTTCTGCTGAAGATGTTGTCCAGAAGGACGACGGAAGCTCCTCAACTAGAACAAACAGCTCAGAAAAAACTACTGATTGCAAGTTATTACTTTTGCCGATTTGCTATATATAACTCGACTGCCTGCCAATTTTATTGACGAGTACCTTTCTCTACACTCGATTTAATGAACTCTTGTGGTCACAACTTCTCACTAGGATTTCAAGATCTCCATCCTGTCACTAATGACCAGTGATTTCAAGTGGGATTTTGCCGTCTTCAAGGAAATATAATAACCCATTTTCAAGTGTTCCATTACATGGCACTTTTAGTCTCCTGTAATCAAAGTCATAATCTACTTGAGTTACTTTCGAAGGATAAAGTTACCACTTAAATAAAGTGTAAAGACCAGTTTGTAGAAAAAGTAATATTTTTGGTTTCATTAATTAAGAATATTGATGATCTATGTTAACTAAAATGAGCAGTTATAACCTGTAATCATTTAGACTGCTCACGTTAATGGAAAATGTGATTTCACAATAAAGCGTGTTATTTTTTAGGTAATTTTTGTATTTATTGTTGATTGACTGTGTTAGACAGAATTTCCCGGTTTCTGTTGATATGTCAGCTATTAGGACTTAGGGCAGAGGCAACATAAGTTTCCTTAAGTTTTCACATTCGCCTGATCGATGATTAATAACAACTACAAGCATCTTACCAACTGGTCAATTTAACATCTAAATACAAATACATCACAGTAATTATCGGGTTAGCGACCCAAATTCACACCTTTCAGAGAGGATTAACTGAGACAATGTAATTAAGAAATTAACAGTTGTTTTTCTGACCAGACGTTGAAGGCAACCTCGATAGTTTGAATAAGAAGGTAAATCGTCAAAACTATAAAGCTGTCATCTAATCGCAGCGTGAGCATTGAAAGTGAATGGTTATCTTGTGAGTAGTAAAGCCTGTTATATCCGTCTGCAGTCATCAGGATAAAGGTACTACATATGCACCTATAGATGATATTTTTACTAATTCAGGAAATACACAGTAAGAAAATGGTGATGGTTACTTAGAAATCTTTTACTTTTAATAGAAAGTTATAGAATCAACTAGATTATTATAATTTCCACAAACTGTTATTTACCATTAGATATTTATTTGAAAGTTTCGGTTAAGACCTTTATAATAAAAAGAACTAAGTTATCTAGTTCAATTATTATGAAGTTTGGAAATGATTCAAAATATTATCAGCAAGAGGTATCAGATAGTTTCTTGCTTTATTGGAAGTGTCTTTTAGTGATGAAGTGAAGAAGAAAACCTTTTTCCTTAGGTTAGATGAAGAGTCTTGATCTATCAGTGTGGCATATTAGAAGTACATCTGACAGCAGAGTTGAAAACGAGAAACAAAAGATAAAGGTCATTGGGAGGAAGAAAAATCCGTTTTTAAAAAATGACTAAAAGCTTTGAAGCCAGCGGGAAAAATACTGACGATGAAATAATTTTTAAAGAATATGTCGGTCCTAAGGTAGAGAAATTATTGAACAAAATAGAATGTTCTGATGCATTATTTCGTCTTACGATGCTGATGCTCGAAAGTATTTATAGTTGTGCGGATTCTTCCTAAGTGGAATAATTAACTATAGAGGTGATAAGAGATGAGGAAAATTATTTGTATGTGAACTGATGATGCTACAGTAATCAGGTCGCTACTCAGTAATAAGTGTGCAGCATGATTAGTAACTTGAATATTAGAAAGGGCAGTTTATTTTGCTTCATTTTCAGTTAATTGGCAGGGAAATATGTTTATGCAGCATTCTGTGCTTTCTGGCATCTATATCTACTCAGTTTTCTCTCGATGTTATCACTCCATCCAACACGCTTTTTGAAAGAGTAGGCTAGCATTTGTTATATACTAATTCCCTAATTCAATTTATTTGAAAAATAGGCTGGAAAGTCTCAATGTTGACTCCAAAAAGTTATTATCTGTCGGTCAGCTGCAGTTCCTTATTAATTCACATCAATTTTGATAAAAAACGAAAAAAGCACGGAATGTATCTGGTGTACCAATTTTAAATTTCATTCACGCAAATAAATAATCTACATCACAGTAGATGATTTGTTTAATGTCGGCTGGCATCTCAGGTCTTCTTCCAACTGAAATCATAATGAAAGTCATTGAAACCAAAAAGTTTCCCTGTACACCAATTTTGACAGCTAGTATGAATGAAAACCCTATCTCAAACCCGTAAAAAGAGCGGGTAGCGGCTCTACGCAAAAGACGAACTCCATCGTTATGGAAACTTCAAAGCACCGATCTTATTACTCACTACTGGAGTATTTATAAGTAGATTTCTTGAAGAGCTAATAGGAAGTGACCAGTGATACGGATCACTGTGCACATGAAAGAAGTATTTCTAAGATTGCTTAGTTGATTACGGTTAATGTCACATAAATGTTCCCCAGAATAAGAAATGTCATTGTTATACGCTAAAATGGAAGTCTGATTTACGTATATGAAGTTGAATGTTTGCGGTGGATTCGACAGTCATGTTAAACAAAACTTTATTATTTGTCTGAAAAGCATAAAATAACTTAATTTATCTTCATAAGACGCTTCAGAAATCAAATACACATCAAAAATGACATCTCATTAAATGAGTTACTCATTGCTAACAGAAGCCTTGGTTATTTCTTAAGGCAATTTACAGCCATGTCAGGGAACATACATGGTCTGAAAAATTATGTTGTTTTTCTCCTTAGCTCTGAAACGCCATAAATACATTCCCTAATGAAAACTTCAAAAGCTGAAGAGATGCTTTATTATTTACAACTGCCTATTTGTAATGGAGGGCGAAATGTCTCCATCTAGACCCTTATCAACAGAAATATTTCACCCACCACGTATCACTAAATCATTTATGTCTGTATATGTGACAATGAATAAAGAGATCTCGTTAAAGAATCATTTATGGTTGCTATGCAACGTATTCGTAAACACTACTGCTCAGTAAGAGAAATAAAAATTATCACGACAATTCTAAACAAATATACCTATAATGGGATATGAAAAGCTATTCTCCAATCAAAATTTTACAAATGAGTACATCGAAATAATCACACATGCTGTATGTGTATGTACACATGCAAATAACATGAGTTTTGTAGGGTTTCGAAAGGGGTATATATATATATATATGTATATATCCAGATTAAACATTTTCCAATGAATTCACCTTCATAAAATTTTCACCTCAAGCATATAAACATCAACTTATAATCGATCATTAGGATAAGTGTGTTTTCAAAGTACAGAGGCATGATAAATAGACTGCTCACAGAACATAATCTGCTTCGTTCTCACAATAGTTATGGGATTATACGCTAGAGAAGGAAGGCTAAAATTCATAGATTGACTGGAAACGTCAAATAACACAATTTATGATTTATACATATATTTCTTGATATTTTTGTTATTTTAAATGATTATCATTACATTTTACTATTTGTCATATTAATTCATCAAAAGTAATGCAGGAATTATCATGAATAACAAAAACAAGGATATTTTGTCTAACAATCCCAGCGATACTCTCACCAGTAATATCACAAAGCATAATAAGTCAAATTCTCATCCATCATCTTATTTACCCTGCCATAATAATGCCAATAACAGTAGTAGTAAGACCTGTCGAAATATTAGAGTGAACGAATTGAAGAACAAACCTCCAAGTTCACTCGGAACTGCTTACTGTCCACAACACGGAATATTACCAATAGTAAAAACAGCTTATGTTTACCAGGATAATGATTTGGACAATCGGAGCAGTGGTATACGCCTAGCCATTCAACCAAATCACTATCGAAGTTTGGAAGCACTTCTAGAAGAATTAACTACAACAGTGCCAACGGTTACCTGTAATGAACAAAAAATATATGCACCACAAGTCATGAGTAAATTCAAGTCAATGAATGATATACAATGTAACAGTTACTATGCGTACGCTGACTATCCAACGAAATCAAGAGGTATATCACTGGATCGTAAAACAGCTAATAAAGCCAACCGGACCATTGACTGTAAGCCTTCATCACTTTCTACATCAACGTCTTATAGTAGACTAGTTCTACCCAGTTATTCACTAAATCCTTCGAAGCTAGATTTAAATAATCTTTTGACTAGGTATACCACCACTGACACTACTAACAGTAGCCATAAATTCAACAAAACAACAAATTGTGTTTATCTGCCAACACTTGATACTCTTATTGTTGACTCCGATGAAACCACCACATGGAGACAATTAAAACAAGTGAAACGTATTTATGTTCGCTTGAATGGACAACCGCGTATATACAAACCTGTGTTAGTTAAACGAAGATATATTAAAAAACTTGACCAAGTGTTACAAGAATTAAGTGAATTGTTCCGAATTCCTATACATAAAATTTATACATTAGATGGTGTATTAGTAAGTGTATTTTATTTATTTATCAGTTTGTTTCACCATCTTTATTTGATTATGCATTTTTTCCCCAGTGTTTATTGATCATTAGGGTAGGCTTATTTTCATATATCGCTCAAAACAATAACAATAAAAATTACTTGACAATGAGAAACACTTAGTATTCCTACAAATAGTAGATCGGTCACATCTTTTCCATCTGCAATACCTAACAAACTGAAATTCAACGCTGGCTTTGCCAAGGGTTTACTTTCAAATCTATACTCAATAAGATAATACAAGAATCTTGTTGAATGTTTTGCAGTGGTTACCACTGTAGACAATTTCCTGGAAATTAAACAGATGACTCTTATCTCTAGAATATCATTCGAGTAGGAAATTGCTTTCCTAAAAATGACACCGGTTGTTACATTTGTATATCCTTGGGAAAAGTCACAAATACTACGATGAATATATGGAAGGAGAATTATGGTCAGGGAGAGACAAAAAAAGACAATCACCAGTCTGAACGTGATTTATTCATCTGCCATGCTCACTATATGAATATAGTAACTGGAAATTAATATAAGCTACTGAAATCATATCATTAAATACTCTGTTATCGATCCAACCATAAGATATATGTTCCTTTGATTGTTACCATGAGTTAGTCATATGGACGCCGCTGGCCTTCTGTCAAACTAATCCCTAAGACGAACAGGAGTTTAGATAGGAATAGATAGATTGTATTTAACCCAACTGAATTAGTTGAAAAGTATCTGTGGTACAGTGGATTTATCAAAATGTCTTCAAAATTCTCAAAAGATCCCCTATTAATTCTCATATCTGACTATTCACTAGAATGGGGTTCATTGTGTCTGCCTAAAATGGTTTATCTCTCCAGACGCATAGGGATTATTGAAGTGACGTAACTTATTTATTATTGCTCTTATAGTTAAATTCTAATATACACATCAGTAAATAATACTGTCTCATTTTTTGATTTATATGTGTAATGACCAAATTAATATGGAATTACTGACCACTTCTTTGAATCGCTATGCTACGTGTATCGTTTCTTCAAATCAATATTAGTCAGTGGTTGTCATGGTTGGATATCAATGAATTTTTATTTCTGTCTAAGTTTCACTGTTCCTCTTCCCAAAAGTGAATTTCTCCTAGTCTTCCTCTGTATACTACAAATTGCCTTATTTTATATCTAAATTATATTACGAAATGTAGCCATTAGAAACGATATAGTTTGGGTGACAGTCGCTAAGTATCAGTGGTTTATCATTCTAACATAATTTAATTAAAATATTTATTCTTATTCTCCATAAAGAACAACTCTGTCACTGTCAGCACGTTTTGGAAGCGACGTAAGATGAAGAACACGCTTTTAAACCTCTTAAGTGACTAATGTGCCTACCTTTCACTTGAATTATTCTTTATTGTATTTTTATGTTTCATAACTTGAGATTAAGTCACCTTTCATTTAACTCACAGAGCGATTTTTTCTCTAATTTGTATTTGTTGACATATTATACTCATAATATTAGCAACTACCTTAGGTTATTTTACAATGTTACGACTATCGATTCAGCATTACTTCCATTATATATTAGTCGGTTAGTTCTTACCTAACTGCCAGTATGCTGCCTAGTTTTAAACAGTTAGTATTTCATTTGGTTGTACACTAGGCAGTAACCAGTGTCATCCGTCGACTACTTCTTTTGGTTTAGACTGAGTTTTATCCGTCAAGACTGCAATGTGACCAACACTTCCTTCAAGATTGTAGAAACGTCCAGCTGACGGATGTCAGCAAGCACTAAACCCACGTCTAGGGTCTGCTGTCGATTGCCTTCAACCATCTAACAACAATTATTATTGTAATCCGTTTCCTAAACCTTTTTATTGCATGTATTAAACAAGGTGGTTGTTCAATCGTTTTTGGACATATAAGTGAAATCATTAAATAGAGGGAAAATGGAATATATTGTTTAAAACTAATCCAAACATATATTTATGTAAGGTTTCCGAGATGAATAACATTTACACGAAATCTAACAGATTCATTAACCTGGGGAAGCTTGATACTGTGGATTATTTTGATCTTAATTGTGAAATATAAAATGAACAGAAAATTGATAAACTCACATAATTATTCGTGATTATACTCACCAGCTAAAAATAACGCAAATGGAATATCTTACAAAAAAAGTTTTTCAGGTATTGGTTTTGTAGGGATTTTGTTTGATTGCATGGAGGATTTCATCATGAGCTGACATCAGTTAGAGAACCACTGGAAAACCTGGGAGTACTGGACAGCTGTTTCGTCCTAGTTTGGGACTCTTCATCAGTACACACTCACTGGTGTTCGAACCCAGGACCTTCCTGTTACAAGGCCAGCTCGTAGACCATTGAGCCACTGGGACCCGATCCAATGGTCCTTGAATTCTAACTTCTGCCAATTCACGACATGGCGCGACCACTTCGCAATGTCTTCTTCGATGAGTTACTGCCTCATCTTCAGCCTGCTGTACCCTACTGGTCACGGCTTCCCACTGGAAGCCCAGGTTAACTGCCTGAATAGGGCCAGTCACTAGTGAGCATCAGATTAATTTTCAAGTATTGGTTTTGTAGTTTTCTTGATGGATTATTAAACTCATAAAATGGTGAAAAAGTTCTCATTCTTGGAAAATTGAAAGACAAACATTTAAATTAGTCACTATAGAGGAATAAATACCAACCTGTTTACTCTTTATACCTTACATGCTTTCCAATATGATCACTAACACAGTAAGCTTTCAGTCAATATTGGACGGTAAGAGGCAGTTGACAAGAAATCCTGGACCCAGATTTCTTACTTACTTGTATTGATCAACGTAGTGTATATGCCACCTTCAGGGACATAATTCTGTTAAAGACTATCAAGGCCTTCATCTTGATTACCTTCAACCATTAATGTGAACTGAATTTCATACCAATAATAATCCTTAGTGGCTCACGGTCGATGTTTAATCCTATGAAAACACTGGTTTTCTACCAGCTGTACTGTGATATATATATATATATATATATATATATATAATTGTTGACGGAACCCCTAAGTAAGGTCATTGACTCTCATGATTCTAGTGCTAATCTACTGCCGACTAATTAACACAATCAAAATATAACTGGTTGATTACCTTTAAAAGTAAATGTAGACTCTTGTTCAATGTTGATTGAATTTAACGACTTCTGATGACAAGAAATTTGAAGCAGATGCATGTGTTGTGTGATGATAAATTCGAAATAATTTTGTGGTGGAGGGATCTAACCTATTTCGTCCCTAACCGATATTGGTTAGAGAGCCACTGAAAATCAGGGAGAACTAAACAACCGTTTCGCCCCAATTTCTGAATCTTCAAAAGCATACCCCCATGACTTCACGAGGGATCCAAATCAGGAACTTCAGGTCATGAGGCGAGCCTGTTCGCCATACATCCATTGGGACGGAATTCAATAGCTCATAAATTCAAACTTCTTCAATTTGCTATATATAGTGCCATTGCCAATTTATATTCTCAGCTAGTGTCTGCCCTTACACCACACATATGGACCCCATTGGTCACAACTTCTCATTCCAATCCTATGAAGTTTATCTTATTGCCAGTCCCTACAATTCAGCACTTGAAAATTATTCTTTTACACATTAGTGACCGACTACAAATGAATTGTATTGACATTTAAACTAATCATATGAGTACTGAACTCATCTTGATACTACTTATCATGTGATGGTTGCTAGGGTAATCCAGAATATGCATCCTATGGTACAAAGAATTATACTTGACTCATGTGCATTTAAGTAATTACTCACACTCACAGACCACTGAAAACCCAAGTGTCATATATTGCATTATTGATTCACAACATTCATTCACTGTGTAACTAATATCTATTTACAAATCAAAATGACTCAGTTATTCAGAAATCTGCTTTGATGTGCAATATATTTAAATAGAATAAAATATTAAGGCTATATGGATAGAAGATTTTATAACTTATCTGGTTAGTATAACTGAGCTATGAATTGTGAAGATGTGCATGTTGCCAGCAGAAAGGATGAGCGAAAAATGGCGCTCAAGCCTGGTCAGATATGTACCCGTTAAAGTAAAAGACTTAAAGCATCCGTGGGTGGTCTAGACACTTATTTAGCTAATACTATCAAGTTGGTGCAGTTTTATATATTTATTTTAGCTCTAGGTTTATTTTGGTGCTGTGGTAGGTACACTAAAGGTGTAAGAAGTCTGTTTTTCACTGCTTTTCGATAAAAACTTTTCACTGAAATGAAAAATGACAACTAAACTAGACAAGTTCCTGAACTGTTTAATTCAAATACCTGTCTTATGTTGCCTCCTTCAAAGCTTTGCAGTTAAATGACGTCGAATATGTAGCTTAATTACGGGAGATATTTAGTGATGATAGGAATGTGTGAATCATAACTGAATTTGATCAGTTGGTTGAACACTTTTTTTAAGCCTTACTTATCATATATTAAATTTATTTATATGTACTGGAAGATCCACGATTCAAATATTACTTCCGTTCAGGTTTACTATTCAACTCTAATCGTAAATTAAATACACGGAAGACTAAGATTACTGCAGAAACTTTCAACAACACTTGATGAAACCAGTAATCATCGGTCGTTCGATTAACTGGGATCAGTATAAATAGGCTATTTTTAATGAGACATCTCGGTGTTTGTTAACTTCTGTTCAGTGATTCACTCCGGAATTGATTTGATCACTTGTAAGGCCTGACAAACTGATGTGCTTGCATTTCATTGGTTGATAGCGTGTGTGTAGCTTCATGGCCATCAGATAACTAGATGCTATTGTAACTCTTCTGGGTTACAGTGTAAAGACTAAAATGACAAATTCCCAGATAACTGGAATTCACTTACACCTAATTGACTAACATTCTATGGAATAAAATCACGATTATAAAGTTCTTCGCTAGTTATAGTAAAGCATAAT